TCTGGGGGGGGGCTACGTCTGTTCCCCATGGTTCCTGTGTGTGTTGTAAAGTAGCCAAGCTCGCTCCCGGGACGGACTACAATCTCATGTTTAGTTTATTAATTTGTATTGAGATTGTAGTCCATCCCGGGAGCGAGCTTGGAGCGGTGACTACTTTACAACACACACAGGGACCATGGGGAACAGACGTAGCTCCCCTCCAGAAGGAAGGACAGTGTCAGCGCCAATTCAGAGATGATTGGAGGATCTAAAGCCGAGTGACACACAAATAAGATACATTCAGAGTTTCGGGGACTTGAATGGATTTTTACGATTTTAACTGCGGAGTTTAGCATTTCACAGTGAACTTTTTGAATGAAGCATCTGTGAGCTCAGCGAGTCTGTTGAGGGAGATGTACATGAACAGACACGCTGGACGTTTCCATATACATTAGGCACGCATTACTCACCAGGAGGGAGGGACACGCAGCTATATAAATATATGTTATTATCCTGTTTACCAAAGAGAAAGTAATCTGTATCACTGGTGAAAAAAAATGTGAATGTAGCTGCAGCTCACACATTCAGATTCCACACCCATATTTGTAGATGAGGTTTGATATGTATCTGGTGAAAGGGACATTCACCCGACCTGCAATCTACAGATCCATTTCAGTCAACAACAAAACATTGTATCTTTTTATTACAATTTTATATTTTGCATTGCTTCCTTAGACAAGTATTAATCAGTGAAGAATATGTCATTTTTTTTAAACATGCGAATGTATGAATCAGTGATATGTGTAAAGACAATGATGTGTGACTGTGGGGGGGCATTAGAATAGTGTTCTCTGTACAGCACTGTGGTACATGTCAGAGCTATATGAATGTGTGTATTGATTTGTTTTATTTATATTTACAGTTTTGCCGTTTTCCATCCTCTCTGATGACACTGTACCAAACTCCCAGGTTTGCGGATCTCCGACGGTGTTCAGTCGCATAGTAGGGGGGTCAGATGCTGCGCAGGGGGCGTGGCCGTGGCAGGTCAGCCTGCGGTATAATGGACGTGCTATCTGTGGAGGATCCCTCATCTCCAATCAGTGGGTGATGTCTGCTGCTCATTGCCTTCAATTGTGAGTCTTTGCTCTTCTCTGACACAGCTTGGGGCAGTGGGGGATGTGGACTATAGTTATGACTTAAAAGGTGCTAAAACTTTCCTAAACAAGTTTGCTATGTTCCTGGAATAATCAATGGAAGTCAGTAGATTTCTGTTCCCGCCTAATGTGGGAGTTTTCATTGATCCGCTCATGTCACTGTGTATGGGCCCAATGGGGTGGGTGTTGTTTCTTTGGGTGGCCTGTGGAAGTGGGGTATGTGTGGCCTTTGCTTCCATACATCATTTGCATGTCATGAGCATCTGGCAGGGCAGTACGGTTATCTTCTGATAAGCCTCTCTGTATAATGTCTATAATTGTCCTTTTGGCATATTTTAGTGTTAGTTCCTGCTCAGGTCTGGTTTCTAGAGTGTTAATAAAAGCACTGTATGACTCTGGAAGGCTGCATAGCAGTAATGCCACCAAATGGCTATCTTTAATCTCCTCTCCAATTGCATGTAGCTGCTCTATGATTTCCAGCATAGCATTCACATACTCACACATTTCCTGGCCTTTTCCTAGCCTCCTCTTACATAGCTTGCATAGCAAATATACTTTCATGTTTAGGTTTGAACACTCATCCAGTTTCTGTAATGCAGTCCACATACCTTTAGCTGTATTCTCTTTTCTAATGTGGATGAGCTGGCCATCTTCCACCAGCAGACTTATAATTGCTTTTGCTTGCCTGTTCTTCTTGTCACATTCCTCCGCGGGCCCATCCCTGGGTCTGTCTGTACTCAGTACTTGCCACAAGTCGTCTTTGCTTAGCAGCATTGAACTTCCATAGCTGGTAGTTGCTATTGTTGAGCTCTGCAATTGCAAACTTCATATCTGAACTGCTCACCATCTTTCAGCAGCTTGGATGCGGCTCATTTTTACTTGCAGTATTCTGTTCAGTGTCTGGGCCCAAAACCTGTTGGCTATGTGTTTAGATGAAACACTGAGATCTTGAGGAATGCTGAATTAAGTTTTACTTGCTCATAAGGACATTACATGTATATATACAGCATGATGCAGGAAACCTAGAGATCATAGATAAGTATGCACACGCACAGAGACCAACGTTGCACCACAGCGCCATCTAGTGCTCAAAAGACATACTTACAGTATATGCTGGTGTATTTCCAACAAGTGACACCAGAATAATTTTACCATGCTGAAGCCCCACGCCCTGCTAGAAATCTTCATAGGAATATATCGGACGGAGGGGAATTGAAGATAATCACGGTCACAGCAATGCTATTCAATAGCAGATCGGAGATGGGGGTAAATTCTCCTTTCAAAGTTGTTCGGTTCAAAGGTCGCTGTCTTCTCTCTTTTTTTTCTCTCTCATGAGATTTTCCCTTAAAGTATATGCAAACCCCAACAATGAGATTCTGTAATTTACTTCCTTATGATGTCCTAAATATACCATTTATAAGTGTTTTAATTGTATCTGTTTGTTAAGTTATCCTTCCAGAAATCTAGTGAGCTGATAATGTCCTGTGCTTTCTGCCTCTGCTGCACTCTTATCAGTTACATTGTTCTTTGACAATCATTTTATTCATGGCAGCACTTGTTGGGCAATACAGTACAGCTTGACTAAGACTTTGCTTTGTTTCACAAGAAAAACCACTGAGTTTAGTATAATCAAATGTTGATCAAGCATGATGGCCAGGAGAGACAGCCAGGAGGATGAGTGAGGAGGGACAGCCAGGAGAGAGAGTGAGGAAAGGCGGCAAGGGGGGAGAGCGAGACGAGACTGCCAAGGGGAGAGCGAGACGAGAGGGCCAGGGAAGAGAGCGAGGCGTGATGGCCAGGGGGGAGAGCGAGGCGTGACGGCCAGGGGGGAGAGCGTGGAGAGAAGGCCAGGGGAGAGAGCGAGGTGGGACAGCCAGGGGGATGGGAGAGCGAGGAGAGACAGCCAGGGGGATGAGAGAGCGAGGAGAGACAGCCAGGGGGATGAGAGAGCGAGGAGAGACAGCCAGGGGGATGAGAGAGCGAGGAGAGACAGCCAGGGGGATGAGAGAGCGAGGAGAGACAGCCAGGGGGATGAGAGAGCGAGGAGAGACAGCCAGGGGGATGAGAGAGCGAGGAGAGACAGCCAGGGGGATGAGAGAGCGAGGAGAGACAGCCAGGGGGATGAGAGAGCGAGGAGAGACAGCCAGGGGGATGAGAGAGGAGAGACGGCCAGGGGAGAGAGCGAGGTGGGACAGCCAGGGGGATGGGAGAGCGAGGAGAGACAGCCAGGGGGATGAGAGAGGAGAGACGGCCAGGGGGATGAGAGAGCGAGGAGAGGCGGCCAGGGGGATGAGAGAGCGATATGAGATGGCCAGGGCGATGAGAGAGCGATATGAGATGGCCAGGGGGATGAGAGAGCGAGGAGAGATGGCCAGGGGGATGAGAGAGCGAGGAGAGATGGCCAGGGGGATGAGGGAGCGAGGAGAGATGGCCAGGGGGATGAGAGAGCGAGGAGAGATTGCCAGGGGGATGAGAGAGCAAGATGAGATGGCCAGGTGGATGAGGGAGCGAGGAGAGATGGCCAGGGGGATGAGGGAGCGAGGAGAGATGGCCAGGGGGATGAGAGAGCGAGGAGAGATTGCCAGGAGAGAGGGTGAGGAGAGATGGCCAGGGGAGAGAGGGTGAGGAAGGACGGCCAGGGGAGAGAGGGTGAGGAAGGACGGCCAGGGGAGAGAGGGTGAGGAGAGACGGCCAGGGGAGAGAGGGTGAGGAGAGACGGCCAGGGGAGAGAGGGTGAGGAGAGACGGCCCGACTCTTTCCAAAGAATGTCAATATATTTATAATACACTGCAATGAACACTAGGAGGCGCCATAGCAGGTTGTGTTTATACGTGTCTGAAAGTGGCTCCAGGGGCTCCCTTCACAATTATTATTCTTAGACTTTGACTAAACATTTTGATGCAGCCAGCATGTCTCCAGTCTCCAGATGTTACCGTATAACATGAACAATATTTGTTTGCATTTCAGTTCATCGCTGCCCTCTGATTACACTGTACACCTGGGAGCCTACAAACTGGACATCTCCAACGCCAACGAACAGATTGTCAGAGTGAACAGGCTTGTCGTTAATTCGCAGTTCAGCCAGGTCGGACGCAGTGGAGACATCTCTTTGCTGAGGTTGGCCGCTCCCGTCACATTCACCCAGTTCGTTCAACCCATCTGTATTCCGTCGGCATCCATGTTCTTCGCTACCGGAACAAGATGTTGGGTAACCGGCTGGGGACAAACAAACTATGGAGGTAAAAGCGCTCAGATGATAATTCCCTTTTCTGGTAGACAGAGTCTTCAAGTCTGTGATCAGACCCTTTATCAGAGTCTAATCATGTGCCCCCACTCTGTGCTGAATACGGCATGGCTCCTTAGCTGGCCCCATCCAAGCAGAGGTTACTTCCCATCTCTGCTCAGAAACTGAAGCACTCTATCACCCGTCATTGTTATTATTGCAGTCCTCCATACAATCAAGGTCCATTCCTGGTGGGTGCAGCAATGGCCTGCGATTGTAAGAATTGGAACTATAGAATCAAATGGGACTTTGGAGGAACCAATCTAAGTCACTACCAAATGAGAACAGTTAAAAATTGTTTGAATGTAAATACATTTATACAAAAACACTCTGATGATCTCAATATCTGCCCAATCATGAATACATTGTCTTCTTATTACCCCCGCCCTGTGAAAATCCTATTGTCACACAGATTACATAATATATTGCAGCTATATTGTTATGAATATCAATCATCCGATGGGTGTTAATGGAGAGACAGTCAGTCATTCTACATGTTTCTCAGACCAAAAGGCCACGTCCACAGGAGAACAATAGGAAGAAATGTATGTGCAACATCAGATAAGTCATAGAACACAGTCCCAAATCACTATTTCATATGTGGTCCCACCCCAACCCTCAGTCCATGAGGGACAATGGATAGCACGTTGTCTTTGACAGGTTCCTTGTTGTATAAGATATTTCCCTTTTCGTTTATCATGATGATGAGAGGAATTCAAACTGATGCATAGAAGTCCCATTGCACTCCTGAGTGATGCAGACCCGTGATCCTCAGGTGGGCCCTGCAGTGACTGTGGATGGTGCCACACATAAACAATCATAGGAGAAGTCACCAGCCCTGCAATGTTCGCTCTAGCAATGTTGTATAATGCAAGGTCGTATCATCACAATGAAAAGCAATGTGTCGGAAGCTATTGGGTTCCTTCATCTGTTTGCCTGATGACGGAACCTATTCAGTTCGGACACGTTGCATTTCATTGCGATGACATGACCTTCCAACGTCAATAAAGACAGATTGGTAGAGTTACTATTGTCCAATAAAAAGGACTTATTCATTTTAAATACTTGGAGTGCTGGTGACCTATTCTTCCAAGCAGATTGGTAGAGTGAACATTGGAGTGCTGGTGACTTCTTATCCTATGACTGAATCCAAACTGACACCCATTCGGTCTCAGGATTATAAATTACTAAAGTTTATTAACTAGCACACTACATGATATGCTTTGTAATGCTCATAATTCTGACTGTGCATGCACCTAGACCTTGTCTACAAATGACCTTCAGAGGAGGCCGGTTAGTTGTAACTGGAAGTGGTACTTGTCTACAGTTTCACTTCTTTAGAAAAGGAGTCAAAAGAGAAAGACAAGATTGCCAATTATGAAAAGTAAGATTTCATATATACGTTTTCTTTCACAACTCGAACTGGCTTAAACAATTATCTCTTTTATACCCAAATATAAATTTTAAAGGAGATAATACCAAGCTGATAGCCAATCTTAGCAGCTATAATGTGGTAAGCTGCAATAGCACTTCCAGTTCAGCACTAATAGCAGTTTCCACCACACGACCCAATAGTGCCTTGATGGAGATACCTATGTTTTCCACTAAGGGGACACATCTTATGAAGGCTGGGGACCGCAACAATAGCGATGAAGTGTGTCAGCCATTCTTAGCATTTGCTGTTGATAGCCCTATGTTTGATGCCGATGTTGGTCTTGTTGGTGGTGGTGGTCTTGATGTTTCTGGTGGTCTTGATGCTGGTGGTAGTCTTGATGTTTGTGGTGTTCTTGATGCTGGTGGTGTTCTTGATGCTGGTGGTGTTCTTGATGCTGGTGGTGTTCTTGATGCTGGTGGTGTTCTTGATGCTGGTGGTGGTCTTGATGCTGGTGGTGGTCTTGTTGTTGGTCTTGATGCTGCTGGGGGTCTTGATGCTGGTGTTATTCTTTGGATATTATACCCTTCCTATCCCTGTTTGTCAGAGGATATCTTTTGACAATGGCAATGACCGGCAATCATACGGATTGGAACTATTGAATAAAATGGGCTTTTTGAATTGCCAATATAAATCACAGCCAGTTAAAAAAATTATTTCCAAATTTTATTTATATACATATCTTTAAAAACACTTTTGTGATGCCAATGCGTGCACAAACATGAGTACATTGTCTCCTTATCTCCCCCACCTCTGTCAATATCTTATCACATAGATTACATGATATATCCCTTGCTATTCGCTTTCTGGAAACAGTGTCATAGGTGCTGTAAATGCTCCTGCAGTAACCGTACATTTTGGTATGTTTTCTGTTGATCTGAACTGGAGAGAGCCCGGGATTCTCTTTCGCAGTTGTTGAACTTAAAGGAGAACTATGGGGTCAGGGCTTTTCCCCATAGTTCTCCTCAGGGTAACGGGAGGACACAAACTAACATCCTCCCATCACCCAAAGCTCAGTATATCGCAAGCTACCTTTTGCGGTATACTGAGATGCCGCAGCCAGGACGGATCCCGACAATACTGTCGAGATCCGCCCAGCTGCGGGATTGACAGTTGGCTCTGCCTATCTAGAGGCAGAGCCAGCTGTACCCGCCCCCTCCCCCGTCCGTTCCGCCAGTCAGCGCTGGAGGATCGGAGCAGGGAGGGAATCCCTGCGGGGGGCCGTGAGTGACAGTCACGGCTCTCTGCAGGGGCAGGATCGAGAAGTGAGCGTGCGTCAGTATGTGTTCGCTCACTTCCCGATCTATTGAGCCGACCTGTGACAGTTTCATTCTCACAGTTCGGCTAGAACTATGAGGCCGACTGATTTTCACTCGCCTCATAGTTCTCCTTTTAAGTCTAGAAATCAAACATCTGTCAACGCCCTGACGGCACATAACCGCATACTTACTGCTTCATCTACTGTATTTAATTAAGATCCTTTTTAAATATTTCCCCGATCCATTTACTCTAATCACCTTAATCCAATTTCACTTTATCCTAATCCCCTGATAAGCCTTGTAGCCAAAGTCTCCTAATGTTTTGAGTAAAACCCTCCGTGACTTCACCATTGGTGGTAATGGGTGCTGTTAATCATGCAGTTGGCGCCTCTCCAGGGGGAAGTGTTGCGGGCGCGGTGCCACTCAGTAACTGAGCCAGCCTGCACAAACCTCTTGTACTTACTCTTGTACTTTGGCGTGTGCTTTGGCACTGGTGCTGAGTCTTTGATCCCAGTGATGAATTGCGCATTTCAGTGCCAAGATGCTGAAATATCTGTCACATACTTCATTGCTTGGAGTGATTTGCAGTGATGTGTGTTTTTGTTTTATTGGTAGACTCCAGTGAAAAGCTGAAGACTAGGCCAATTGTTTTGTATTCCTGCCCTTCTAATCCTGAGAGTTACACAGTTCTGCCACATAGCACAGACCTGTCTTGCTGGCGCAGGAGACCTAATTTTTCTGTGCTCCAGTTCAGTAACACTTGTCCCTCCCCCAGCCTGTGATTGGACAGTAAAAGGAGAAACGGCAGACATGATAAATAAAAAATATACGTAAGGATGTGTTGATGAATAAAGAGCTGCTGCATTGATCTGTGTCTTAGATGGAAGATCAGCTTTGGAGAATTAAGCATAGTGATACATAGCAGAGGCAGGGCTTTCTTGGTTAGGAATTATGTTGATCTTTGAGGCAGAGTTCAAGCATACCACGCCAAGCGACTGTACAAGCACCACAAGTAGCATGGAGGTCTGGGAACACCTAGGGTTCTGCTTAAACAGTTTGAATGTTTGTTCTGTTCGAATGAATGCGAAAAACAAATGTTATTTTCAAATGTCATTGTAATACCATATTATGGCCACTAGATGGAGTGCACTAATTATTTAAGGCTATCATTCAAGTCTTATTATATTATTTACAATCCTCCTATCCCACTGCAGTCTGTCACTCCATGATTATTAAGTAATTTCTTTTGTGGGTAACTGCTGGTCAAGCTGCCTGTCTGTGCTTTTGGATCCATATTAATCTGTCCACATATCCATAACCCCTCCTCTTGTCTATAAATTCTCTTAATCTACATAACACCACCAAATCGCCATACCTTATCCTCCTTTCTATAAGCTGCCTTCATCTCAATAACCCTTCCATATCTCCATAACGTCTCCTTATCTACATAACCGCTCTTCATTTCCATAACCCCTCCTTATGCACAGGCCAAGCTCAAACTATTACCAAATTGGTGTCCTGTGCTTGTAGATCCAAATTTACCCCTCCACATCTCTGTCGGTTCTCTTCATCTCCATAACCCCTCCATCTCTATAACCCCTCAAGATCACCATAACCCCTCCATAATCACTCCACATCTCCTATAGGTTCTCCTCATCTCCATAACCCCTCCATCTCTATAACACCTCAAGATCATCATAGCCCCTCCACGTCTCTGTATGTTCTCCATAACCCCTCCTCATCTCCATGACCCATACTCATCTCAATAGGTTCTCCTAACCTCCATAACCCCCTCCACATCTCTATAGGTTCTACTCCTCTCCATAAACCCTCCATCTCTATAACCCCTCAAGATCATCATAGCCCCTCCACATCTCTGTACGTTCTCCATAACCCCTCCTCATCTCCATGACCCATACTCGTCTCTATAGGTTCTCCTAACCTCCAGAACTCCTCCACATCTCCCTAGTTCCTCCTCCTCTCTATAACCCTTCCTCGTCTCCATAATCCCTCCACAATTACATGACCCATACTCATCTCTATAGGTTCTTCTCCTCTACATAACTCGTCCACAGCTCCTTAACCCCCCCTCATCGCTATAACCCCTCCACATCTTTATGACCCATACTCATCTTTATAGGTTCTCCTCATCTCCATGACCCATACTCGTCTCTATAGATTCTCACCATCTCCATTAATCTTCCATAGCCCATCCTCTTCTCTTTAAGTTCTTCTCATCTCCATAACCCCACTCTATAACACTTCCTTTTGCACAGGTCAAGCTATTATCAAACTGGTATCCTCTGTGTTTGTAGATCCATATTAACCCATTCACATCTCCACAACCCCCTCCACATCTCCATAACCCCTCTTCATCTCCAAAACTCCCCTCTATAAAAGTCCTCCTTTTGCACAGGCAGACACACAGTACATCATATCGTACAAATACCCCAACGTACAACACTCCTCATGCCCATTAACTCTCTCTGAGAACCACCAACTCTGAGAAAAGCTAAAGATCCCATGGTGTCTGGCTGTCATACACATTGTGTGTATTTCACATCATCGAAGGGGCAGAGAGTGTTTTCAATGGACAGCCTCGGCCCTCATGTACATATGTAATTAGGGACTATGCTTAGAAACAAGGCCATTAAAGCCTTTATAAGGTTATACAATTATTATTAATATTATTATTATTTTCAGGTTGATAGTTACAAGTATATCTAAGAAGAAATCTTAACAGGACTAATTTCTCTATAATCCTATTACAGCTCAATGTTTTTAGTAGATGGATGCTGGTTTTTATTTATTACTTGTGCAATGTTTTTGAACACTGTAGCAGAAAGTACACAGATATTGGTTGTCAAGGTTTGAAGGCATCCTTATTTTTTCTCCACTTATCATGGTGTCTCCCTCCTCTCTAGAAAGCCTGGCCTATCCCAAGAACCTCCAGCAAGTCATGGTGCCGCTGATCAGTAGAGAGTCATGTGATAAGATGTACCATATCAACTCTGCGTACGCTGCCTCTCAGACCGTCATCCAATATGACCAGATCTGCGCCGGGTACACGAGCGGGCAGAAAGACGCCTGCCTGGTGAGTGCAATACCTACCCGCCTTAAAAAAATGATTACATGAAGGTTGTTTGTGTGCGTCAACATTTGTCCTATGTTTTCTGCTGGACTGAATGAGCTGTGAGAGTAACATGGTGCCGTCATCTATAAAAAGGATTGGTGGTTTGATTTTGGATAGAGTGGGGAATGGCTAAAACCCTTTTTTTCCATTTTGTGTGCTATTTTGGAGATTTTTCGGAGTTTCATGTCCTGGAGATGCAACAGGAAGTTAAAGATTTCTCTTCTTGTCCTGTTCTGGTGACATCTGTAACATTTTGGATGTCCCAACATCAATACAAGTGGTCACCAGGACACCCAGAGAGGTAATCTGCCCTAGCAGGACACAGAGGGAGGAAAACTGGGAAGTGTTCCAACACTTCCACACTCCAATTAAGATCGCTTCCTGCCAACATCACAACACCCTGCCTTAGTATGTCTCTCAAGAGCCCCCAGCCCTGATACAAACACTGGTCAGGGTCTTGGGAAGAACTATACAAATATCAAAATGCCTTGATGGGTGGGTGCCAGTCAGCAATTTCAGTCCAGGAATGGAAACAATACAACTTGTATTTTTGTCTGTGTCCCTGTTGCAGTTTTTCCCTCACTTCCTCTCTGCTTAAACATTTATGTTCAAAACAGGAAGTGAGGGGAAATCTATCTAACTGAGTCCTAGAAATACATTTTCAGGAGGCTCTAATATTTCCCTTTCATCCAAAACTAAAATAAAATGTTTTTTGCTTGGCCTACCCTTTAATGTTTTTCTATGACTCCGTAATAAACTCCTTTTTTTTGTTTTTGGTTTTCAGGGAGACTCGGGAGGACCCCTCGTGTGTCAAGCCAATGGGTTATGGTATCAGGTTGGCATTGTGAGTTGGGGAGATGACTGCGCCCTTGAAAACAGGCCTGGAGTGTACACTTTGGTTTCCACCTATGAGTCCTGGATCAACTTTTACAAGAACTCCGCTTCCCCCGGCCTCTCCGCCTCAGTGCTGCTCCTAGTGGTCTCTATGATTCTGCACAGTTGACTTGGCCGCTGCCAGGATGTGACACTTTACAAGGTTCCTGTTTTGAGCTGCTAAAGACTGAATGGTCTTCAAAATACCTCTGAACCTGTAACTGAGCTAATGATTTATTTATTAAAGCCAATGATGAATATAGATAAAGACCTCCAAGGTCTGGGACTACCTGAAACTTGATGACTCTTCTGTAAATGAGAACCTAATCTGTAGAATGCTGGGGTTCTGGGGCATTCAAGGAAGGTCATGAAGCTGGGCCAGACATTGACAACCAATATCCTATATAAAGAGTTCAAATTAAATTAAGTATATGCAGTATGTCAACTTTGAGATGATGGTTGCTAATGACTGAATGGTCTCCAAATTCCCTCGGCGACTGTAATTGAGGGATTCGTAATTTATTAAAACCAATGATGTCTATGGATGAAGACCTCCAAAATCTGGGACTACCTGAAACTTGATGGAACTTCTATAAATGAGAACCTAATCTGTAAAATGCTGCAGTCCTGGCACTGAAGCATCAGAATGACTTTGCCCACGATAGAATGGGGCGTTCAAAGAAAGCCATGAAACCGGGCCAGAGATTGACAACCAATATCATGTGTAAAGAGTACTTAAAGATTAAGAATATGAAGTATGTAAACTTCTAGATGAAGGCTGCTAATGACTGAAATATCTTCACATTACCTCGTAGGCTGTAACCAAGACATTAGTAATTTATTAAAGCCAATGATGTCTATGGATGAAGACCTCCGGGGTCTGGGACTACCTGAATTTTAATGACTCTTCCGGGAAGCAAGAATCCAGTCCATAGCATACTACAGTTCTAAGACTCAAGAATGAGTTATATTGTCACCTTTTAGAATGGAACAGTCAAAGAAAACCATTAAAGTGGCCCAAAGATTGACAACCAAAACCAAATGCGAATAATATTTAAAAATGTAAAAATTTAAGGAGATTGAGCAGTATGTAAACTTTCAGATGATGTAAACGTTGTAGAGACTCGGAGCTCCTCTATGTTCTACAAGGGTTTGGAGGTCCTCTATGTTCTCCAGGGGTTTGGAGGTCCTCTATGCTTTCCAGGGGTTCAAAGGTTCTCTATGATCTACAAGGGTTCAGAGGTCCTCTAGGATGTTCTACAAGGGTTCAGTGGTCTTCTATGTTCTCCAGGGGATTGTGGGCCCTCTATAGTCTACAAGGGTTCGTCGATATGTGCCTTCCAGGAGCTTCATGAAGACTCAGCAAATTCTATTTTCCTTTTTCATGGTGAAATATTTTACATGATGTGCTTTTTGTGGATATATGTTGTGTGTGGAATTGTGCACCCTGAGGTCTAAGAGCATTTGATTTATCTTGTTTTAATGTCTTATTTACTGTCCTGTGATTAAATACAACTTTTTGGTGTAATTCTCTTATTTTTATTTTTTTTAAATTTGATGTACGTACACCAGGACAGTACAAAGTGCTCCAATTCACGGAGTAGATCAGATTAAAAAAGGAAAAATATAGGATGCTCCTCTATGATTTCCCAATTTTGCTGCTCCAGACCAGGGGTAGCCAAACTCCGGCCCTCCATCTGTGGTGAAACTACAAATCCCATGATGCATCTCTCTCTGGGAGTCATGTCTGTGAGAATCTTGCAAAGCCTCATGGGATTTGTAGTTCCACCACAGCTGCAGGGCTGGAGTTTGGCTACCCCTGCTCCAGGCTGTAGTGAAATATTATTGAATATGATTTCTAATGGCAAGCTGTGCTCACAGAAATGGGATGGTGTTCCATATAAGCAAGAACTGTTGTGTAGGAAGTCGATGGTGACCCTGAATAATGCCCGAACAAAGATGGTGCCACTCTTCTTGACAAAAAGGCAGATGGAGGGCATTGTCACGGGGAATACTGTGATCTCTGTGAGATTGTATAAATACCGGGAAGTGTTACAATGGCATATGTAGTAAAACAATATAGTTGATGCTAGGTTCATTTTGATGGAAAACTATAATGGATTATAATTAAGGACACAGTATGGTAACCTGAAAGGAATGCTCGCCCAGAGGATAGAATTCAAAATATTAACAATCACTTACAAAGCCATCCACAACTCTGCCCCCGGCTATATCTCCAACCTTGTCTCAAAGTATCACCCTAACCGTCCACGCCGCTCCTCCCAAGACCTCCTGCTTGTCCACTCCTCCCATGCTCGTCTCCAGGACTTCTCTAGAGTCTCACCCATTCTGTGGAACTCTTTACCACAACCTGTCCGTCTGTCTCCCACCTTGACTGCCTTTAGGCGTTCCCTAAAGACTGATCTCTTCAGGGAAGCCTATCCCACCACAACCTAACCACTGAACCATCACATTCTCAAACAATTCATCCCCACACACAGCTCCCTCCTCATGTATCATTTCCCCCTCCACTTTCAGATTGTAAGCCCTCACTGGCAGGGCCCTCCTTACCATCTTGTCTTGAATTGTATTGTGATTGTAATGTCTTCTTTATATTGTAAAGCGCTGCGCACACTGTTGGCGCTCTATAAATCCTGTATTATAATAATGATGCTTCTTTAAATTCCTCACTTAGTTTCATATTTCATACACAGACTGGAATCTTCACATTCTAATATACTGTAAATGACGTTGGGAAATTTTTAGCTGCCCCGAGCAACTGCCGAGATAAAAAAAAAATTAGTCACCAGCGAAACCACCTCAGGATAGGAGTGTATTCAGGAAATAAATAGAGCTCTGATCTGACTTGTAGATCTGCACCTACTTATTAGGAGACATGCCGCCCAATCACCGTGCCGCACTACTAAGCAGTATGCACATCATTTATATGGCTGCCCCAATATCTTTGAATTGATTCTATAATTACACTTCATGTGAATTGTTTAAAGGAGAACTAAGGGGTCAGGGCTTTTCCCCATGGTTCTCCTAATGGTAACGGGAGGATACAAACTAGCGTCCTCCCGTCACCCTAGGCTCAGTATACCGCGAGCTACAGCTCTCTATATACTGAGACCGCCACAGCCGGGACGGATCCCGACAATTCTGTCTGGTTCCGCCCAGCTGCGTGAGTGACAGCTGCCCCTGCCTATCTAGAGGCAGAGCCAGCTGTAACCCTCCCCGTTCATTCCCTCCCCTGTTTGTTCCGCTAGTCAGCACTGGAGGATCGGAGCGGGGAGAGGGGGGGGATACCTGCAGGGAGTCGTGAGTGACAGTCACCGCTCTCTGCAGGGAGATGATCGAGAGGTGAGCGAGCGACGGTATGTGCCCGCTCACTTCAAGATCTACTGAGCCGACGTGTGACAGTTTCATTGTCACACGTCGGCTCAAACTATGAGGCTGAGTGATTTTCACCAACCTCCTGGTTCTCCTTTAACAGAGTTCAAGTTTACCCAGCTTTACCCAATCACTTTATAAGTAAATACTTCCGTGTGTTGAATAAACACAATTTTATTATGTGACCTAAAGCCTAGACAGGCTAGATCACGTGGTCCCTAGGTACAAGGAGCAGGATGCGTACCTAAGGAGGAAGTACAGGAACAGGGCCGAGCTGATCTTTTTCATATTACTACGACATTGAAAAATAGCCTAGTTCACATTGAATTTGTTAACGTGTGTTACAGTTACATAAATCTGACTTAATTATTTTAACATAAAGGGTCTAAGTTATCTTCCTTATGCTGTATGTGGCGATAACATTGGTAAAAAAAAAAAAAAAAGATAAAATACCTGAATGTGTACTATAAAGCCGGCCATACACCTTACAATTATCTGCAGATTTTCTGTGGTCAGATGGAAAAGGTGCAACAGATTCCTCCATCTACGCTAAGCTGTGTGGATGGAGTAATCTCCACCTGGGCCAATCTGTTGCTCTTTTTCCGTCTGACCACAGAAAATCTGCAGATAATTGTAAGGTGTATGGGCACCTTAAGGTTAAGTTTGTGGACATCCCAAGAGTACCTGTCCTAAATCCACCAGGATCAAAAGGCCGCCAACCACAATCAAGATTGAAACTACCCCCGAAGAAAAAACGTCTTCCATTCGCCACCTGTTCTTCGTCATTGATATCGCCGCACACCAAACCCACTGGTGAGTTAAGAATGTACTTCTCTTTCATATGTTTGCACGGATTGTGACCACCTTGTATTTTTTTCTTTCCTCCACGCCCCTCCCCAAGGATCCACTTCTGCCTACTGAACACCCACCTGTCACCCTGACCAGACCTCACAACATCACCAGGAGATCCCTTCCCCTTCCGCAAGGATCCACTTCTGGCCACTGAACACCCACCTGTCACCCTGACCAGACCTCACAACATCACCAGGAGATCATCACCTGTGTGGCCATCCATCTCATCACACTTGAGTACCCATTTTTAATTCCTCGATTCCACTTTTACCTCGATTCACTGTTATTCCCTGGTCAACCCCCCTCCACAAAGTCTGCAATAGTTAGTTGCGCTCCTTCCCTTCCTTTCTTTCCATTCAGTATCACACAGTTAGACACCCCGGTCTAATAACACAAGGAGCCACACAATGGCCACGACACTCCGCCCCCCCTAGGAGTGCGCTAACTAATCAGTCTTCATTCTCCAATATTTTAATCTTGTTAGATCTGTAGCTTCCAATAACAAAACCCCTGGTGATCCTGCCATATAGGTCCTTGTTCAAGCACTTCCGTGACAACACTCTTCCATTTATGCTCCTGTGCTAAATCCAGAAATAGCGGCACTCCAAGGGTCTTCACAGAAAGTAAAAGTCTTCATGGAGCAAATACATACTGTAAAGTTCCTCCCGATGTATGCTCAAGCTTTTCTGCGTTTCACCTTTCCAGCTTACTCATAGAGATCTATGTCTGCAATTGGGATGCAATCATGGTGCAAGCCGGTTTGGGAATCTGGTGTTTGCTGTGGATAATCCTGTGCTGTCACCTTGTCAACCCCCCCCCCCCCCCTGGGGGGGGCTAAAAAAAACGGTGCC